TATATATCTGGTTATACGCCCGAGTTAGTTCATTAATATGTCTTGAGTTCTCTATATCATATTAGTTGAACACGACACGGCAGGCTTACCGTTCGCACGATGTTCTTCCTGCCCGCTGCGACGCGCTCCGCGTGAGAAAGCCGCAATTAGAACCGCAACTGGAACGCTGGCAGGAGCGAACGAATGACAGCAGGCACGTTTTCGTCCATCTTCTGTGCGTTGGAGAGAGAGAGGGGAGGGCGGAGGAGCGAGGGAGGGGAAGGAGGAGGGAGAGGGAAGGAGAGGAGGAGGAGGAAGACGTCAGCACGGTAGAAATATGTAGCAGGGGAGAGAGACAGAGACAGGGAGAGAAAGAGAGAGAGACACGGAGAGAAAGAGAGAGAGACAGGGGAGAGAGAGAGAGAATGGCAGGGAGAGAGAGAGAATGGCAGGGAGAGAGAGAGAATGGCAGGGAGAGAGAGAGAAGGCAGGAGGAGAAGAGGGAAGGCAGGGAGAGAGAGAGAGAGACAGGGAAGAGAGAGAAGAGAGGGAGAGAGAGAGAGACAGGAGAGAGAGAGAGAGAGAGAGAGAGAGAGAGAGGCAAGAGAGAGAGAGAGATAGAGGCAGGGGGGGGGAGGAGAGAGAGAGAGAGAGAAGAAGAGAGAGAGAGAGAGAGAGAGAGAGAGAGAGAGAGAGAGAGATGAGAGAGGAGAGAGAGGAGAGAGAAGAGAGAGAGAGAGAGAGAGAGAGAGAGAGAGAGAGAGAGAGAGAGAGAGAGAGAGAGAGAGAGAGAGAGAGAGAGAGAGAGAGAGATTGATAGAAAATAAAAGACTTCCAACCTTTTCTGGCTGTGTCAGAAGAGCTGCCCCCATTCCACCCTTGATGCTAAATTCTTTTGGGCAGCCCATGTTTACATCCACAGCAGCTACATACGGCTCTCTGCATGAGAGGAAAAGATGCATTAGTTTAGTTCTCAAATAGAAACACTTAATACTTATCACATATTAACATGAAAGAAATACATAACAAAAATCTGGAAACAACTGTTAATGTTATTTAAGATAAGGTAAGAGGGAATATGAAGAGACTGAAATCTGTTCAGCTAATTCTGTATGTTAAGTAGTTATTGAGTTAAACTGTCACTGAGAAACAGATAAAAAGCTTACACCATCTTTCCAACTTTTAATGCTCTCTGTGGATCATTTGTACCAATCTGGAACACCACTTTCTTCCTTTCTTTCTCACATGTTCTGAAGAAGACTGTCCCATCTGATTTATCAACAAAATCAGTAGTTCCTAGAGCCTCTGAAATAATGAAGGAAATTATTATTATTATTATTATTATTATTATTATTTTTTTTTTTTTTTTTTTTGGGGGGGGTACTCAAACTAAAAGAAAATTTTCAGTATATAATAACTTCCTCAGAGAGGTCTTCTATATACACAAGCCAGTTCACTACATTATAATAATTAATACCCATCCAAATAGAAAACACAAAATCATACAAACCATTATCCTTTTTGACAGAGCGGAGCATCTTGAAATCTATGGTCTCTTCTGTATAAATAAGGTCAACTCCATAATCTATAGCCAGGAGCCGAAAGGGCAGGGTACAAACACGCACCATCGGGGCCACAATAATTGCATTCTTGTACTGATTCATACTTGTTCTGTGGACTGTAGTAGATACAATGTATAATCACTCTTAGATTATTAACTAGAATCAATATACAGTGCAGACAGGATAATACAGCTAAAGAATATTAGGTTCAAAGTTTCTGTAATTTCCTATTGTTATGATATATCAATACAGCTTTACACTCTTCTCATAACAACTATCAAATTACTGCAACAATTTCTGTAACTAAGATTATCATTTCTAATGTTTGTGCGATTATCTAGTATCAATGCTATCTTTATCTTACACTAACTTTAAAGCAGATAATAATGAATAGGAGAAGGCATGTCAAGTCTTTGCCACAGTGATCACTAAAATCAGGTAAGGGTTTAGCTTCAGTTTTGCACAGCCACAGAATGGCAAAAAATGATATACTTTTCATCTATGGCATTTTCTTTATACCTTGATAGAACGAAAATAGTGCCGCATGGAGAGGACATCTACAGCAATTGGATGGGGTCTGTTGACAGACCCCCTGATATTGAAATACAATGATTGTGTGGGTCTGGGAGTTTGCTGGGGGCACAGCCCCTGCATCAGACAGGAAAGAGACTGATTCTGTGTATATCATTCATATTCTACCCTGCAATTTTTCTGGTACCTTTCATGTACTCCCCTGCTATCAGGACCAACATTGTTGCTAGTGAGAGTGTTTCTGCGGCATATTTTTTTATATATTTGGATAGTAGAAAGAGAGAGGAATCCAGTGGTGCCAAAATCGTCGCAGTCGGTTATGCTAAGGTGTTCTGTAAAATTACTGATGATTCACTGAACTAAGAAAAAATCATTTCAAGCTTGGCTGGCTGTGTAAAACTAAAGTTAAAATGATTATGTGACATCCA